GGGTGGTGATGGAGATGACTAGAGCGTTGGATTACGGATGGTGAGTTTTGAGAAAGGTTAGTCTTACGAGGAGAGTAGGGGCTAGGAAGGGGCGCAGGAGGGAATTAACATTTTTTACGTACGGGGTAACTAAACTTCGACACTTCCTTATTTGTCATCCCCATCTTCCAGATAGAATCATTGAGTCCCGTGAAGAAATATGCCCTTATTCCTTTTGAAAACCAGGTACGAAACGGAGTAGACTCCATCCATATGGAGTTTCAGTAAAGAGACGTGCTCGCATTCTGTTCTGTCTGATATTTCCTTAGATCGAGAGAGGAATACTCTTTCTCTCAGCCGGAGAAAGTAGACGTGCAATCCAGCGACTTATGTGGGGCGGGGCCGTAAGTTATTCCCAACCCCCGCAGTACTGGTATTCATAATGCATGTCTCCCTACCATGGAAAAACTCCTAATCGGTTTTCGATTTACACAGAAAAGCTGCGCCAATATTAACCCCGGTCGCCTTTTCCGTTGTAATGCCTGGGTTTCGAAACGCAAAATATCCTCCCGGAATCCTACAGGTTAGGAGACCTATACAACCCTATAGGGATCCTATAGGATTCTAAAGGATCCTATAGGTTTTTCGTTTTTCAAAAACCAAAAGATTGTCTACAGGTTTCCTATAGGACATTTCCGTAAGGGATGGTTCGGCACAACTAAAGAGGGAAAGCATCGTTCTTTATTCGCATGTCGCGCATCCTTTACTATCAGGAAACATCTAAGAAAGCAACTCACATGGATCCATTCCAACCGGGAGAAGAAAGAAAGAAAATTTCCCAGAGATATGGTCGCATTTGCCATCGTTCGTACATTCGTTCGTGCACAGACACACATATGCACAGTTGTCTCTATTGGTACCTATCGGACAGGGTCTGTCGCAACAGTAAAGCGAAATCGATTGCCCATGGCCGATCTTCTAGCAGAAACGTCATGATCTGCTTTTGTATTGTAATTGAAATAACATACAGGCTGTCCTGTCCAGCCTGCAGCGCAGGTGCATGACCCTGTGACATGGTGACATGTCCCACCATTTTGGCATCTGCACTTTTCTGTGCAATTCGAACTGTACGTGCCTTCTCTGCATGGAGTTTCGCAATACATCCCTATCTACCCTTTATTGCAGTTGCAATCTCCGAAGAAACGACCGCACTTCGCCTCGTTTTTGCAATTGCATTGGTTTTTTCAACCGTTTCCCCACTTTCCTACCCGACATGCTATATGCGAAAAGTCATTCCATCAGTCTTGCCAAAATCTACTCGTATCAACGTAATTTTTTATATTGTTCAAGTAACTCTTCTTTTCAGACGCGTTCGTGAGGGTGAATGCCTTTTAGAGTGTTCTCATCTGATTCACAAATCTTTCCCTCAAAGCCAGCACTGCACTTGCACGAGTTGGGCTCCTCGCAAAATCCATTGATGCACGCGGGGTTGCAAACCGGCCTGCATTCTTCTCCCAACCTCGAATATCCGTTGCTGCATATTTCAACTTTTTTCTGTCCTGTTTTTTTCCTGGGTGATGAATTTGTTTTTGCTGGTTTACTTTTCACTAGATTTTGTTGCGGTGTTCCAGTCGTTATCTCATTGACGAAATGGTCACTAAGACTTTTTCATTGCCGCTAATTTTTATTGCATAAAGCTTTAAGTCGATTGCCGTGAAATACGTTCGAGATTGATATTTTTTAAATTAAATAATCTAAAATCCTCAGATGCTAAGGAATCTGTGTGAAAAGTTTCAGTTATATATTTACCGTTTTGAATGCTGGAATGCCTATAGACACAATGATACGCAATAGCATTAAAATTCACTTGTATTTTATTCAAATAACGTAAATTGTGTCTACTCTGTTTCCTCAATTTCCATGTTGACCACAGTTTTAAATAGTTATTTCTGTTCTAATTGTACATAAGTAGTGGTGTTTTAATTTTTGCCATAATTTATTATAATGCATTAATATAGTCTCACATATGATCCTCAATGCAACTGAGACCATTCCCTTAGTAATCATTAGGCGCGGGGCGCCAATTACCTTTCTTCAACCCCTTCCTGGGACAAACTTGAACTTCCACGTTGTTCTTTCTAGGAGCATCAACAGGTACAAAATTTGGACAAATACAGCGCAATTGTTTTGCGGTTTTCAGTCAGTTTTTTTCATGTATCAACATTTTGAACCTTCTTTCGGTAAGCCTTAGTCTCACCTCACTCCGGTTGAAAAGTTCATATATTCCTATGCCCCTGTTGAAAACACTCTTGCTATTGAACCAAATAATTAATGGATGAGGTCGAAAAAGGCAACAGAGAGGACAGAGAGTGATTAAGCAAGGCGCCACAAATAGGACCTAACCAACTGGGAATAAAGAGATATAATGTTCGAATATAAATTGTTTATGCCAAATGCGAGTACCAAGCAAGATCTGAACGTATGAGAACCTTGTCCGTCCAATAATTTTTCATCCACCCTTGCCATAAGCTAATAGCAATAAGCATCCGTGGTGGCTTTACGAGGATTCAAAGACATTCCTCCCATTTTGACCTATCACCCCACCACCGCGCTTTCGGGAAAGTATGAAGTTGGCATAAATTCCTCCAGCTGAAGCACAATTGCAGATGGCCATCGACTGGGAATCACGAGGTATTGAAAATTAAAATTAAAATTAAAACCACCGTTCTATTTTCTGAATTATCGAATCCAAACCACTACACCCCTGGCAACGTCGAATTTGCAATAGTCAATGCATTCCGACTGGTCGTGAGGGATGGGATGGACTGCTCGTGGGAGGGGGGGGGGGATAAGGACCACGCGCGGACTGCAATCGGTCCCTCCACGGGAGGAAGCCCTTATCTCTATCGGACACACCCAGACCCAAGATTTGTCGCCGGCCGACATCCCTTTCCTCGAGGCTCATTTCCAGGATAGGAACTCGACCTTTAAAAAGTACTGAATTTCTACTTCTGGGAACGCAGGACCCTCCCTGAAAAAGGGGAAGCGTTACATAGATATCGGACTTTCTCTCCCCGCCCCTCATACTCGCCGGCACTGGGACAGAGGGTGAGGAGCGGGCGCGAGGTCCTGGAAGCCAACCATATTGTTTCTTTTCTCTTCCATTCACAACCTGAGACCAATTGCAAACCAATTTTAGGCTCAGAATAAATTACGTTAAATGTGACTTGACCTTGCGTATTGAATGATCAATAATTTCTAATGAGCTGATTTGTGAGCTCATCAACGAAAGTGACATTACTGTGCATGTAACTTTCAGTAACTAATTACCAATTCTATTAGGAAGGCATATCGTATTCAAACGCTATACAGAGTGTCCATGAATTAGCCGACGATTTGAAATGCATGTGACTTTTTATTCATGAAATGCACAAATCTAGAACTGATATCAAAATAATTATCCGTACTTTAAGTTTTTGACTTCCAACAGGTGAATCCTGCAGGATATTTAGTGTGTAAGCATCCCGCACCGTCTCCACAACGTTCTCCGACACTGAAGGTCGACCTTTACCCGGCTCGAAGAATTAAGCAACCGGTTTCAGCAAAACGATCATGCCACTCAATAATCGTTGACCTGCTTGGGGGATCCTTCAGATAATTTGTCTTGAAACGCTGCACTACTGTCACTGAACGAGTTTCAGAGTACGAAAAGCGACAGAACGCACGTTCACTTCTCCAAAGACTCCGTCATTTGCAATCTTATGACTGGGACGTCAAGTGAGTACAAGAACTTAACTATAAAAACACACGCAAGGATTATGTATTTTGTTTGATGTCTTTTAATAATATTGGTTACAAATGTGTTAGTTCACAATTTATCAGAAAATGAAATCATCGACTAATTTATGGACATCTGTGTTACCTGGCTGAATAGGAGCTGAGGTCTTCCTATGAAGCAAGACCCCTAACCACATTGAACGATCTTACTAACAATGCATACATTCAGAGACAGCCTGGATTCACTATCGAATCCGATTGCTGGGAACCATCGTGCTGATATTCATGGCGCGAAAACTTCACTGCATCACATGAACATTATTGGAGATAGTTTGCATGACGCAATAGATAGGGTTTGCAGTGCCGATTCATACCGTGGAACATAGTCATATGCTTCCATGCACAGGTCGTTAAATATGGAAGTCCCCGAAGAAATTTGTTCTTTCTGAGCCGGAAATATGTATCTATCAAAATTTTCAATCGATCTTGCAGTTTTCTAGATACTGAGATCAAGTACTAGATATTAGTACTTCCTGAGGTACTTGGAATTACCATCACCAGATCATTGATTGCACGACGTTGATATACATTTTTTGTGCTGCCAACCTGAATCCAGGGGTATTGCGTCCCCTCATTTCGTCCGCATTTGTCTTGGCGTAGCTGGTTTTGAAGTACGTTCATGTGCAGAATGTCAGACTGTCATGGATACCGATTCCATGATTTTCTAATTCACTTTCCTCATGGAATCCTAATTGTGGTAAGCGAATCACGTGTCAAAACATTATGACAGGAAATGATAGCTTTTTTGTTCCATCAAGATGAGAACAAACGAATAAAATTTTCGAACCAATCCAATTTTAATGGCGGTTTTAATGGCGATTCACCGGAAGCGGCCACCCCGGATTATACATTACGGAAAACATAAAGGATGTGCAGAAAGTGGAGCGAGGTTTCGAGTTCGTGAGATTGCTGGGAAAACCTGCCAGAAGTCCGAGGTGGTGCTGATCCTGATTGCCTATGTAACTAGTCGCTTTTGGTTGGTTATGGGAAGCTATTATTATCTCATAGAAATCGATTGGTCGTTCATTCTGAAACTCTCATATGTATTTAAAATGTCCAACTAGAAGAGAATGCTTCTTGTGAATCAGGGTGGTATGAGTGCCATCATCGCCAAAATAGTCGCGGTACCAAGCATTCCATCCACTGAAATGCTATTTCAACGACAGAAAGTTGGATTTCTGAAGGAGTACCTTCATGGGATGTTTACCTGGTCAGCCACTTGGAATATACGTTCGCAAAGATATGACTAGCACATCTTATTGCGTTAAATTATTTTATTGGTTTTCTTTGGTAACAGATTGGGGAGCAGTTGAAGAATGTGATATGATCAAAGGAAAAACTAATGAACACACGAGAGGAGAAAAGCATGTCCATCAAAACTTTTTGATGACGAAAAAAATAAGAGGCATGGTCGAAATGACGGGAAGAAACATCTCTTTGTTCTTTATGGGGATGAAGAGAGCGATCAAAATGACGAGGATCAAACGGTTTGAATGTTGTGCAATAATTCTAATGACCGATGATGTTGCGGCCATAGGGAAGGAATCTGCCTTTTTTGGAGGAGCGAATGACATGGTGTGGATGACCTTACTCAAGAAGCTCCATCGTTGGAATAATGATTTGCTCCTTCACACGTATTTCTCCCTGGTCTTCTGTTTCGGCATGGGGAGAAGGAAAAGGAATTCATCACTTCAGTCTTCAATGAGGAAGAACTTGAGAATCTCACTCACATATCATAGTCTCGCTGCAATGGTGTTGCGTGCAGGGAAAGCCACTGGGTTCCTCGGATTCACCTTGAAATTCGGCGTTGGTTTTGTAAGGCTCTCCCAATTCCGTCGAGCGTGCCATGAACTCAATTTTTGGCCACAAATCTGTCAAATGTTGATTGAAAGTGAGGAATGGTTGCTACTAGACTTGCAATGTTTAAGTGAACTCACTGATAATTTTTTCATATAGGTAGGAAAACATTTCTTTGTACAGATATGTGGTGCTTACTTCTAAAGTTCTCGAAAGTATATGTGGTTGGCCGACTAAATGCGCTACTCTCTGGCCAAAAAAAGGAAGAAAATAACCCGGGATTTCATATACAGTGAGGGACAAAGTTGTGTCAATGTTTGGCACAGTTCCAGTTGATGACTCATAACTCCAATATAACAAGTTCAATTTAACTTAAATTTCAGTTATTGATAATCCCACTTCCTGGCTTTCGATTTGTCCTAGTCGCGTGTCAAATGGACTCTTATTGGCTGAGCTGCAGCTGTTCAAACTCAACGATGGCATCGACAAAGTTTTGTCCCACACTCTTGGACATACAGAAATTCTAATTTATTAATACTCTGTGCATTCGCCTTCTGCCTTCAACACTACCACTGCACTTCCAGATATGCTCTCGATAAAGTCCAAGCATATTTGGACGGAAATGGCGTCCCACTCGGTTGTGACCAGCCGCCACAACTGGTGGATGCTGATTGGCTCATATTCGTACACAGCTTGCCTTCTCTTCAATTCTTGCCGCAAATGTTCCATTGGGTTGATGTCTGGTTACTGATGGCCATTCTATGACCTCCATTCGGTGGTCCTGGAAGCTTTGGTGAGCCACACTCGAGTTGTGTTTCGGATCATTGCCCGGCTGAAACACCACCTCTCTCACTTCCAGCCGTTCGAGCTCAACTGTCTGGAACATTTCGTCCTCGATGATGCTTGTACAAACTTTGGCATCTATTCTTCTTTGGTTTAGACATCCATATCCAGCCTCCTTGGCCGTCATGCAGCCCCAAAACGTCAGGATGACTCCACTATACTTGCAGCTTCCCCTCACATGCAGACTGCTATGGCCTCGACAGCTGGTGGAATCCTCCTGTCATCACAAACATTGGACCAAAGAGAATAGGAAACGTATATTTAGTCAGACGAGATCAAAATCAACCTCATGAAGTCAGATTTGTGTAATTGGATATGGAAACAGTGTGGTACGTCGGAGAGTCCTGATGTTTTGGGGCTGCTTGACGGCCAAGGGATTCGGAGGTGGATGTAAAATACAAGGAAGGATATATGCCATAGTGCACACAAGCATCATCGAGGAAGAATTGCTCCCAATAATTGAGATAGACCGGCTCGAAATGAGAGAGGTGGTGTTTCAGCCGGACAATGATCCGAGACACACCTCTCGGGTGGCTCAACAAAGCTATGACCACCAAATGGAGGTCATAGAATGTCTAGAAGGGTACTGGTACTGTTGAAGGCCGAAGGCGAATATACAAAATATTTGTAAAATTCGAATTTCTGTATATCCGAGTGTGAGGGACAAAACTGGATCAATGACATGGTTGACTTTGAACAGCTGCAGCTCAGCCAATAGACCAGTTGACACGCGACTAGGAGCAATCGGAACCCAGGAAGTGAGAACATGATTGATTTCAATTTAAGTTGAATTGAACTTGTTATGCTGGAGTTATGAGTCATCAACTGGAACTGTATCAAACATTGACACAGTTTTGTCTCTCACTGTATGCCATGATGCATTCCAGATTCCAGTACCGATTTCAGTTCTAGTTTATGATCCAAAAGTCAAACTGAAATCTGAGGAAAATATTGTAGGGAATCCGGTGGAAATACCGATCAATATGTAAAACACAATCAGTATAAAAGCAATGTACGACATGTTCATGTTTACGAAATGAGTACAGACTTGAATAAAGAAAATGTTGCATCTAGGAAGACAGTTGCCCAAGTTCGAATAAGTTGGTATGATTTCACGTTAACAGGCACTAAAGCACCCGTGCCTCTTCATTTGAATCTCATTGATGGTTCGGTTATAAAACTGCCACCGACTCAAAAGGGACATGGGGCAAATACAATGCAGAAACAAATGCCAAGATGGTTCTAGAGAATAAGTTCTCACCGGAAGAGATATTCGCCGGGATTTGGAATCTTTGGATCTCAAGTTTCTGGTGTGAAAGTCTCCAAGCCATGAATACCATGAACCCAAGGATTATGACAACAAGAAAGAATATCAAAGAACTAAAGACGATGAATCCTTTGCTGTTGAAGATATAAAGCACCAGCGATTCGAGGTTGCAGGGCTTCTCAAAGTCCTTGCCTAGAAAGAGGATAAAGTTCCATTATGACGCGGGAAGGAAGCATAATCGTATCATCCTTACTTCTTCTATCCAGGTCCAACAGGCCTTCACATGCTTTGGAGCAGTTGGGTCCATGGAGGTGATCGGGGAAAGATCGTTGCTTGCAGTATAGGCCAGTCCATCCATCCTTGCATGTGCAGTTGCCGTCAATGGGCGAACATATTCCTTCATTCTCACACATGCATACGCCTTGACAATCCTCGCCAAACGAACCAGGTAGGCAATGCATCTCACACTGCAAAAACAGGTAAGAAATTCTGGGATTTCATTTTGAAGCCCCCAAAACTTAAAGTTGTCAGCAAAAAGGTGAATCAACATGTGTGTGACAGTGTCATCCACGAAAATATAAATATGCCAGTCAAACATAATGAGAATTAGCAAATGCAAATTTGAAATTGTCATCAACGCTGAAATTTAGCCTCCTAATTCATGAACGACGAAAGGATTTTTAAGCAAGACAAAACCTGTTTTCCCCGATGTCCAGGAGTACACGAGCAGCTGCCATTTGATGGATTGCAAATACTGTCATTCAGACAGTCACACTGATACTTGCATTCGAGTCCCCATCGGTCACCCGGGCATGAATCTTCGCAGGCGCTTCCCTGGAGGTATACAATGAAGTGTGTATATCGCTTCTGACTTTGTAAAGCATGCAAGTTTTTCCATTCCAACAACAGACCATCCAACCTTCCGTGCACGTACAATTTCCTGTGATTGGGTCACACTTTCCTCCATTTTCACAAGACCTACAAATTGATCCATATATTTCACTAGGATAAGGACTTCCACAACTACACACAAACACACTACATCAATTTCGACATGAATTAGAGAACATTGCTTTACACAAAGCGATAAAGAACCACTGCACATAGGTATAGATACCACTTTAAGGGTAGACACTCTTTGTAACCGCGTACGGCCGTGCTTATGCTGGCCGCGACATGGACGAATTATGCATGCCATCCCGCTCGATGGAGGTGATGCTTTAGGTTACTAATGTCCCCTTGCGAAAAGATCATGTAGAAATCCAAAGGAAACGTATAAATTTCCTAGACAATCCTGTAGGACACCTATAGGAACTCATAAGATCATATAAGTTTCCCATAGGATTCTCATAAGATACCACAAGATTCCTATGTATAGGAATCTTGTATGATTCATGTATGCATTCCATGTGATGTATGCATTCTATTCCGTATAGGAATGGCATGAAAAAATAATGAAGTGATCACTCATATGGTTTTGCGGATTTGGGATTCGAATGCCAGGGCTTATTGAATACTCCATGAATTCCAGATTGAGTGATTTCTTCCAGCAAATTCATTTCATCCTTGGGATTGTAGCCTCCATTCACTTTTCAAACGTAACTGTTTTATTGGCATTCGGGAGACTCCTTCAGATGTATATCACAATATGCCTCATAATCCATCACCCCTGTCTCCCATCTATCCTCACAAAGTGCTTTCACAACTCCTCCAATATGAAAAACGAAAAAATAGGAACATGAAAAAATACTTGAATAGAAACCCACATTAAAGAAAGTGGGAGATAGTATGAGGACTTCAAAGTGATGCAATTCAGCGAGAAAATTTTGATTTACTTTCCACACAGATCCCCCCTACTGATTTTTTAAACTATAGATTAATTTTCATTCCTTCATTCCAGTATCTACATATTTTTCAACAATTCCCTTCTCCCAAAGGATACTTATCCTTCTGCTACGATGGTGAGAGACCTGTTACTTACTTGTTGCTTTCCAGGCATGCATTCGGACCTCTCAGCGCCTGGGTGGTGTGAATGAGGATGACGACGAGAAATATAGGCAGGCTGGACGTTTTTAAGCTTTCGTTTGTTGTCATTTTTGTGAGACGAATTTATATATCATAGGAACGTTGGTGTGGAGATGCCAGACAGAACGGCTATTGACCGCTCATTCCTTGTATGGCTCCTGGAAAATATAGGATTATTGTAAATACACTCCTCATATAGGGATACCTGGAAAAAAGTTAACATCACAAAGAATGGTGAATTATACAGGGTGACCCGAAAGTCTGGACACATAGGTAATATTACTAATATTGTTTTTTCCCCAGATTGAATGAGTTTATTGAAAGAAGAACGTATTGAATTGGTACTGCTGAGTGGACGTGAGGAGTGTTCATATCGACGGATAGCAGATGATTTCAATGCACGTCATCCCAAAATGTCATTGAATAAAATTACTACATTTTCGCCTATGTGTCCAGACTTTTGGGTCACCCTGTAGAATGACTGAAATTCACTTCATAACTTTAATAAGCAAGAGTCAAAGTATCAATGACCGCAGACCAACTGGTATACAAAGAAGTTATAAAAAACTTAGACAACATACCATATTCAAATAGTTTTGGTCAATAAATTCGGTGAGTAGCCCATATGCTACAGGATGTGGTCAAAGGTAAGATTCTTCCCAATTTCCAGTGGCTACAAGCAGATACTCAGAATGATATCTAGGTCATTAATTATCATGACACTATGCCCATAATCGTAGTCATCCCGCACATTAAGTTTAAAAGGAATAGGTATGATCTCACTCTGACAACCAAGGCACTAGTCTCGCAATATATAGAAGTTTATATATTCCCTCAGTGCTGAATTTACCAACGTACCAATCGGAGAATTCCAATCACGCGTCTTCCCAGGGTCACTGATGGAAAGGAGAACGGGTTTGGAAGGGAGAAATCACGCGTAGTCCATTCCCGTTCGTGCTGTCCACGCCCTTATCAGCGGTGTCCTTGCTCGGCCGAATATCAGCGCTCGAGCCGTATCCCTTTCTCCTAGTTTCAGGTTCCGGAGAGGAACGTGACCTCAGCGATTATTATTCGTCCGGAGCACGAAACATATCTGTCCCATGCGCCTACCTACACAGCAGGCACTTAATATCACCATGTGAGCATACATGTGGAATTAATGCACAGTACATTCAAAGGATAAGTTACTCCTAATTCATTCTTAGTAAATAGTCAAATATCACTAAATCACATACATACATATGAATCTGGAGGACTCCAAACCGGGCGGAGTGAAAAGGTATTAGGTTTCTCTTTCTTCCATCCAAGATGACCATAATGTGAGGAGTGTGAATTCGTGGGCAGATAGGGAGGTCATCAAACTGCTACGCCCCAGAACACTGGGGTTCCTCTGACAAGTACCATCAAGCAACTGTCTAGTGCCAGAGAGACAAAGACTTCAGGCAAAATAAAGTTTTGAATGAGCAGTTACCGAAGCTCTAGGCCGAATTATTCCCGCATTTCAACAGCTCCGGCAATGGGTGCGCGGGCTACCTATTACATCAACAACTAATTCCACCTGTGTCGTTCATGAACCTAACATGCCAGGAATACGAGGATCTCTCTGAAAATTTCCGGATCCACATCACTTTATTCACTTTATTCAAAAAGTCGAAGTAGTTGTCAGGGGAGTGAATTGGGCCAAAAAGGAGCAATTCCAAGGAGAGAAAAGCGAAAAATTCTGCAGTAAAACTTTTCATTTCTATCAATCTGTATTTGTCTCTGATGGTTTCCTGGATCTACCTCTAGCGTCGTTGAGCTCAAGGACCCTTCATATGATATTTATTGGTGTTTGAAGAAATCAACTGCATCGAAAATGTCCCACCTGTAACAAGAAGCTTTAAGTCCTCCTGACACATGTAGAATTAGCTCAGCTTAATACTACCTGTGGAGTGGGTTTCCTGTCTCGTACACATGAAACGTAAGTACAACTGAATTTTAGCTTATTATGGTTTTCAAATACTGGCTTAGAAGTGTTACGGGTGGGACGAATGTTTTGATCAAACCTACTTCCAATCCTCATGAAGATTCAGGTGTGAATCAATGGTCATTAGTAAGGCATTTTTTTCTTGACAGGGACACACATTCTTTAAAAAAAATTGGCAGAAATTGAAACAAGTAGGGCAAGTGATATATAAGTAATACATAAGTGTCCTGACAGCAAACAAATTTATTTACGGGTGGGACACCTTATATTCCGTCTTGTGGTCTTCTAAGTTTATTTTTAAGTAAGCTCTTTTCAAGAGCAGTATAGATACCCCATGAAGGGCATTTTGATTTCATCCACCCCTTACATCTTTGCAGCCAAAACTATCCTAATCGCTTCTATCCCCACCAATTAAGGCAGATCAGCGTTAATCGTAGGATCTCTCTCTTTTCAGCTGATCCGCCTCATTAAACAGCTATCCTCTCTATCTATCGGGACAAGCAGAGACCCTGATCATGTTTTCTTAACAGCTGCAACCTCTTAATTTCAAGTAGCTCTTGAGGCACCTGATAGGTACCTAAAACTTAAATGAAGCCATTACAACAGATTTTGGAAATGAAAACACGTTGGGGCTATTTTAGACCCACTTGTAATGATTACTTTTGTAATCATTACAAGTGGGTCTAAAATAGCCCCAACGTGTTTTCATTCTTTAAATGTTAAAAGAGAGGTCAAATCTTTTTAAGGCTGCTATTGCAACTGCCCTAACTAATGAGTAATCAGTAAAACAAGAGAGACCTCGGTCTCCGACCGGGACAATGGGGGCCATTCCCATTGTCTGAATCAGCTTCGAGGGGGTCTTGGATCTACCAGCCCGCTCGCAGGAGGGTTTTACTGGGACTCGCGGGACCCCTGGTGTACCCACCATCAGGGAGAGGGGCCAGTCCCCCCCCCCATTAGCTCCTATTCTTTAAGAGAAAAAAAAAATATATATATAAATGAAATAAGGTTTGCCGAAAAGCGTTTCAGTTAAGTGATGGTGTTCGCAGGTTCTATCTGTCCTTTCCTTAGGTCGAGAGGAGGTTGATCCTTCTCTCTTGCGCCATATGCGCCCATGGCCAAGAAATTAAACAGGTGTAGGAAGTACGAGTACTAGACGTGCAAATGCCCCTGCTATGGGAAAACCCCTACTCGGTATTTAATTTACACCAACAAGAGGCGCAAATAATAATCCCGGTGGACATTCCCGTAGCAATGACAGGGTTCCGAAGCCCCAAAAGTCTCCCCAAATCCTATGGGTCGGGAGTCCTATACGACCCTATAGGGATCCTATAGGAAAGTCTATAGGTTTCCTATAAGAAATACCTATAGATTTACAATAGGACATTTCCGTAATGGCTGTCGGTAGACCTCATGGGGCGATTACGTAGCTCGGCCCTGTCACGACAGGTTCGGTATTCCACCACAACCCACAACCCCGTATTCCGCACAGCTAGTAAATTCTCTTTCTCTGAGAACAAATGCAACGCCGCAACGCTAATGACATTTCCGGGAACGGCTGATCAACCAGGGGAAAAGGTCTGGGTACCAACATATCATAAGTTATGAAGACCGTTTCATTCTTATTCTGTTCATTGTTATTCATTATGTTATTCTGTCTTACCGTGGAGGTCACTGCAGTATCAGGCTAGATCACCCTACTACTTGGTGGATGTCACATCTCTTTCCAACGCCGGGTGCTATTCCATCATGCTGGTGCAATTCCACTTATGTGGCTGGGAGTACAACGCTTTTGCAGAATGGGTGAATGGTTTCGGTTTTTTCTTCTTCTTGGTCATGAATTCCGAGACCATCATAACCGAAAGTATGCAGCGAACCCGAACTCCAGGAGATATGTATCCGAATCAACAGTCAAGCTGTGATTATTTTTTCAAAGATAATAGAGCCTGCAAACATGAACTTGAACGACAGCCAGACAATAGCAAACGGGTGAATTCAAACTGACGACGAATCGTGGAGATTCCTATAGGATTCCTATATATTCCCAAAGGAATATATAGGAATCCTATAAGACATTTTCGTAAGAGATATACGGTTGTGGAAAATATCGAATAGCACCAAAACTCACATTTTTGTTGATGAAATTCTTAGTCATTCGAGCCTGCGGATGATAACCATCCTTTACTACTTCACTCTGAAGTCAAAAACGCTCGTTGCGTCACGAAGGATGTTATGACACGCGATTTCCGTCATTTAAGTGGAGGATTTCATTCCTCCCTACATTTCCGGCAAGAAAAAAAAAAGAATTTTCCTTCTTATCTACGGATGCACTCCACGGGGAAGACGGCGTCTTCCCGATCTCATCCGTAGGAATGTTGACAAGGGCATCATGTAGGTTGCCCACGCTCCTCCTCCCACTCGGGGAATCCTCGATTGCTTTTTCCACAGAGTTCCATTTTTTTAATTCTCTTTCATCAGATTTCCACGAAATACGAATATCAAGTTGTTCTTGTCAGAGTTACTTAATACGACAATGTGAGCTCAACATCAAGCATGAACGTGGAGTTGACAGCTGATTATCGCTGATATCCCTTACGAAAATGTCTTACAGGATTCCTATAGATTCCATTAGGAATACATAGGAATCCTGTAGGGTTCAGTTTGAAAAATATGGTTCCCTATAGAACCTATAGGGTTCCCATAGGGCCTATAGGGTTCCCTATAGGACGTGTAGTGTTCGCTATAGGACCTATGGTCTCCCTTTAGAACCACTAGGGCCTATAGGGTTCATTATACGACACAAAGAGTTCCCTATAGGGCCTATACGGAATCCTATAATCAAATATGGTTCCATTTGAAGTTTTCCTTTAGGCCACTAGATGGAGGTATTGGCTACTCGCATTCCACAAAGGGCGCAAAAGTGCCCTCCCCTTACCCATGGAATCACCACTGACAAGATGGTTTTGTACATCCCCAAATGTCTCGCCTTGCCTCATTGTAGCAATCAATAAACTTCGACACTTCCTTATTTGCCATGCCCATCTTCCAGGTAGAATAATGGAATCCAGGCAAGAAATATGCCCTTATTCCCTTTGAAAAACACGTACGATAATATGTAGACAATACTCAAAATGAATTCCTGTAAAGAGACGTGCTCGCAGGTTATGTCTTGTTTCCTTCGGTCGAGAGAAAAGTAATATTGCTCTCTACCGAAGGGAGTGGACGCGCAATCTAGAAACACATGTGGGCAGGGGCCATAAATTATGCACACCTGGGCAGTACTGGTATTAGTAACGCTAGTTTCCCTACCATAGGAAAACCCCTAATCGGTATTTGATTAACACCAAATTGCGCCGGTCCCCTTTTCCGTCCTAATCCCTGGCTTTCGAAACCCAAAAAATCCTCTCCGAATCCTATAGGTCTGGAGACCTTTAAGACCCTATATGGATCATATAGTATCCTATAGGTTTTTCGTGTTTCAAAAACCTATAGGAAAGT